ATTTTAAGCGCTATGCGCATGAAATTTCATTAAAAGATTCAAGAATCCAATTAATCTCACAAAAAATGTTGCAAAATAATTTTAAAGCTTGTTATATTATAGAGAAATTCTCTAGAGTTATAAATCATACATATTATGAAATTTAGTTATTCATTATTTATCGTTTCCATTCTGTAACATTTATTTCCATTAAAAAAATCCGTTTTAATGTTATTCTGAAAATATATGTTTACTTATTTATTTTATTTCATACGCGACAAACATGAAAAATTGCATTAGAGAATTGTGTGGAGAGAAAAAAAAGCGAAAAGTTGCAATAGATTTATGAGATGTTCGGATAAGCAGGGTGAATGACTTGGTGTAAAAGAGAAATAGAGAACGAATAAAACTGCCTGCACATTAGCGTGACTCACATTTCAAACGGTCACAGACGTTGTCGTACAGCCCGCCTCCCTATCTATTCTATTAGTAACAGCGATATATATATATATATATATATATATATATATATATGTATTACACACACACACACACACACACACACATAATATAATATGTTAGAATATTAGTAGAAATAAAAATACAGCGAATGTATGCATTATCAAATGGAATGAAGTTGCTGAAGAATTGGCACTTAAAAGCACATTTCATTCACACACTTATGGATTATTCATCTACTATCCAGTAAGATAATAGATAAATACTATTGCGAATTGAATTGTTTCGATAAGAATTCATAAAATTGCAATTTCATGGTAATTATACGGATGGCAATTAATTATGCAAAATGACGGCGATAAAAAATTTATTGTAAGATCATATCAAGTGTCCTTCTATTTTCCTTCGATTATGTGTTCCTATCATATATTATCGCTTCGTACGACAAATTCCATTTCGCGAATATTATTTTTGAAAACTGACGGGTAAGTGAAAAGTCGTGGGCGCGAACATCCGCGGCACGTCGTCGCAAAACGAAGAGCATTGACTCAGCATTGCACCTACATCGCACACCACCACCCGCCAGGATTCCATGAATATTTCGTACGGTAATTTTTCACGTTTCCCCCTCGGTTGCACTGGTTCAGCCACTGCCACGTGATCGACTTTCCCTCTCCGCCATTCCGTGCTACCAGTTTAGAATAACCCAAAGCTGCGACGTTCTTCTACCATTCGTGAGTTCGATCTTGGATGATTCGCGTCATTGTCGTATCATTATTCTCGTGAGACTCGATCGAGGACCATCGAAAGCACCGTCATGGAAGTTGCCAAAGGTAATTTCAACGGACTGGAGTTTACATTTGCCTCGGAAATGTCTTGTCGAAATAGTTACAGCTGTGCGCTCAACTTACTTCTCGTCTCGTTTACATTCTTATGCACTTTCAATTTAAAATATCTCCTACACTTCGTACTTGGAGAATAATTTAACTTTCACAGAATTAAAATTAATGATTTTCTGCTATCGAATCAGACGGGTTTTCTGTTCGACATCATCTAACACAATACGCGGAAGAAAAATGATAACAGCATTAGCTAACGTTAATCTAATTAAAAATAATGACATAATAATAATAGTGAATTTAATAACAGTATTAACGAAACAAATAACACATTATGTTAAAACGCGAAAGTCTGATGTATTTCATTAATACTTTTACTGAAATTACGATTACTTACAATTAGACTGCTTTGTTAATGCTATTAATACAACTTTTTTTTCCACGTACGTAATTTTAAGATCAAGTATAAAGATGAGAAAGATCGTAATCTCGAATGATCGATGCAGCTCTATTTGCTATAAACTATAGTAATATTACTTATTTTATTTTTTCGCCTACGTACATAATTTTGCATAGAATCTATTGCATTGTTAATATTACTCATGATATTACGCAATGTTACATATTTCCAATATGTCAATTTATTGTTGGTAAATTATTAATGGCTATTTATACTATAATGTGGATAATGCAACAATTATCCACTGATTTATCAGTTATCTCATATATTTATTTAACCAATGTTTATACATTTATTTCTGAGAATTTCCATTATTATTTGAAATTCATACCAGTTTAAATATCCCAATGTTTACACGTTTGTTCCAGGAAATTCCTATTATTAATTGAAATTCATAACAGGTTATACATCCCCGTCTTCGTTTTACTATAACACCTACCAAATTATTAACTTCAATCAAAATTAATTCATCATAAAAAATTAATCAATAAAATTAATTAAATGCGTTAATTGCAATTTGCTAAATATAATACATTAAACAAAACCCGCAATCGGTCTCCAACACAAGTCATTCGAGAATCTTCGAAATTTACATAATCCAATCTACGAAAGTAATATCCTGTTCTTTCAGTGAACGACTCAAACAGCAGCCTCGTCGAGCAATCGATGAACGTAACGTCAGCGACGAAGTCCGTCTCGACATCGAAATCTGTGCAAAGCGTCCAGACGAAGTCAGTCGTAGAGTCATCGACCTCAATTAAATCCGTCAGCTCCTCGTCCACCAGGTCTCAACAATCGATGGAGTACGAGGAGACAGTCGAGTATAGCGATTAATGCAATTAAAGTAAGATGAATCCCTCTAATTAAAAAAACAAGACATCGACAAACGAGAAGGAACCAAAGAACGTATTGGAATTCGGCTCGACTTGATTCGTCGTGTATTCAGGAATTTTCGTTCCCGAACAAAAAGGGAATTTATCGTTACGGACGCCGCTCGATTCGATCATTCTACAATATTTCTCCCGTGGGGAAGGAATATTCGCATACCAAAAACGGCGATATCATTCGTAATTGTGAGGGAAGATTAACGATGAAACTCCGCGTGCTGTTCTCCAATTCGACCTCGTGGATCAGGGTCGATGCTCGGCGCGGGGATGAGAAAGTCGAGCTGACGGGTCAAGGCGTCCACTTGTCAGGGTTGCGCACCAAAATAACGCATGCCCGGCCGCATGCACAGTCGCGCCACGCGATGATACGACGAGGAGAAATACGACGAGTCAGAAGAGACGGATGGAGCGGAAGAAATTGAAAACGTGCGCGCGAAGAAACGCTCTCGGCAAGCCTCTGGCCCTCGTCCAATCGATGCGGTACGCCGCCAAATAGCAAGCCCGCGCCGCACAGCTCGTCCTTTTTTTCTTCCGAGAAAATTTTTTCCCCCCAATCGGCCACGTATCCGAGCTGTCCACCTCTCGAGTACGCAGATCGCTCAATCATGGTCTCGCGTCTCCCGACGACCCCGCTCATTTATCTTTGTATAATAAAATTTATAAGGCACTGCTGTCGCGTTTATGTTCGTTAACCCTCTTCTCATTTTAATTACGCAATTTAAAATTAATTCTCACCATACATTACGCACGTATGCGCTGCGTCAAATTGAAGATTGGCAAGAATCGCTCTCTCGTCTTCCAATTATACTCGTGAAAATATATCCCTAGGTATACACACATACCTCAATTAAATAAAGGGACATAAATTAATTAATTTAACGTAAACTTCTGCAAATTTTGAAGTTCTGCATGCATTCAAAGTACTTACATATAAGAGGCAGAAAAGGCAATAATATTCAAAATTGAATATCATCGATATAATTCAAGACTAATACGGATAGTAGAAAAATTAAATATTACCGAGAAATGATTCACACTTGTGTAGTATTGTTGTAAGAAGCGAATAGTCAAATACACACACAGAGATAAGCTTTAAATTAAAATGAAGATTAAAACGTATGTATGTATGTATGTGCGTATATAACGTGAGAATTCTGCCTATGACATTTGCCGTGAACGGAACAAAGCATAACATCGGGCAGCAATGAAAAGATTCCGAAAGAAAATCATTGCCAGCAACTTTTACCCCACGTACTAAAGTATAATAACTCTCGTATTTCTTCGCCCTCTCATCGTACAACACTACTAAACTAAGCTGACACGTGCGACTGCGGCCCGACAGTGGGAGGAAGAGCCCGTATCGACCAAAGGAAATACGATTTGAGAGAAGACGGATGTCGAGGGTAGCGCGGGAGCCAACGAAGGCGTGCGATAAAGAAAGGCCGCCGGGCAAATCGCGGCGCAGGGATGACACCCACTAAGATTAAATAGCGCTTCCAGAACTCTGCGGGATGTGTAATAAGCAAACGCGGGTGAAAGTTTTTAGGAGTTTGCGCCAAATCTGGCGTAACGCACGTCCTCGGAGTTCACAGCGGGTAATAACTGCCACGCGACGATCGGGGCAGTGCGCATGAGGGATTGAGATCCTGGCACAGCGCGGCGGCGGCGCGGACAGGGAATTTCAATATCCTGTCGCTCAGGGAAATGGAGCAAATATATTTGTAAAGATATGGGATTTCTCGGGAATCCTCTGCAATTTGCAGAGCACGAATCGAATGATCCGTAAGAAGTGTTTGCCCCCCGTGTCCTGTGAGCGCGAGCGCTCCGTCCCACGTGTTTCTTTTTGCGATTAATATGCAATTCTAAAAATCTCGATTGAAGCGTGACGTCTCTTCGATCATATAATATTTATTGCGCTATATACTCATAGCAGGAGATGAATGCTCTACACGTGATCGCAATTTCATAAATTTGTGATACATATATTGATTCACACGCCTGTTGCGTATGAAAATAAAATTTTTAAGTAGCATTCTTAGAACATATTCAATTAATTAATTATCAGGATTGACCGAGGAATGTTATACGAACAATTAAGAACGTAAAACGCCAACACGATCAAAGCGGATCTTGGTACTTTCATAATATTCAATTTATATTATACCTTATAAAACATGAGTTAATTGCAATTAATCGTTGTTAACTACTATTTTTTGCAGGAAATAACTATAAAAAAGATTCTCATATACATATGTGTATATGAGAATGTTTTTTATAGTTAAATGTTATATATATATATAAAAAATACATGTGTGGGTGTGTGTGTGTGTGTGTGTGTGTGTGTGTGTGTGTGTGTACCTATATATTTGAATATATACCTACGTACATGTATGACTCGAATAAAAAATCTGCCTTCTCTCTCCTAATACACTCGATCACAAAAGCGTGACGCTGATTTAATCGAGATGAATCGCTTACAGGAATCCTGCCTGCAAAAGCAGGTCACATATATCATCGAGACAACCTTCCAATGTCCGTTCAGAAGTCCATACGCGATGGAAAGAAATAGAAAGTGAATCGTCGGTGACTCGTCCTATTTCGCACGAGGGGTCATCTTTTACGTGACCAAATATTTGGATGACAGAAACGAAATGACGTTTGAGAAGAGCCTGACATTTGCTTTAAGTTAATGCGCACAGGATCCGCTGTAAGAATAGACTTTATGCCTGGGATATCTTAGCTAATTTCGTTAATAAGTTCGTTCTTGCACGGATTTCGAAATCGCGGATTGTGCTTGAAGTAAAAGTATACTAATATGAAATTTCTTTTCACTGAATATATTGTAATTTCATCTAATATCTACAATTCATTCATTTGCAGCGCAATAAAACACGCGATTGTTGCTGCGAATGAAACTTTACAGGATAATTTAGTATTTGAACATCGAACATCCGACAACAAGGTATCCATCACCTGTTCTCGAATACACATATCAATAGCCAATCCGTCATAATACATCATGTAGCTAAACAAGGTTTTTGTTTAGGCGAATGTATAATGGAGGCAAGATACGTCGATTAAAGAAGCATCCAACGGAAGCGAGATCGATTTTACAAAAATATCCCAGCGTAAACTTTCATTACAAATTGATTTATCGACCCGAGAATAAACAATAGAATTAAATTCGCTAATTGTAAAGAAGGACGGATAAACGCTTACTAACCTTGTTCTTATTCTCTAAAGACCATTTATTGAAGAATCGTTATCGCGCTTTACTCTCGTATACCCTTATCGGCGTGCCAAAATGCTACTGTGCAATAAATATCCGCCCCCACATGCACAGATCTCCGTTTCTCTTATCGCGAAAATCGAGGGTGGATTACATTTCTTTCGGATATTTACGCCACATTATTTAACAAAACTTTATTGCGATGCTACATTCTGTAAATGAAGATCTGCAGATACTCTTGAAAAAGAAATAATTGCGATATCAGTAACAAAAACTATAAAAAATTTCGGAATAATCGACAATAATCGCATTTCTATACATTTTTAAAGCATGGTTTGAGAAATTTTGAAAATATATTAGAAAAATTATTACTTATTAAAAGTAAAGTACTCAAAATAATGTTATATGTACATTTTTTTTGTGTTGATAAAAATATTTTTGATGTAACTCTAAAATTTTTGGAAGACTATATTTGTTTGTCTTTATCAAGTCTTTATCACGTTCTTTCTTTTTGCATTAATATATTAAATATATAATTAAATATATTAAAATATAGATATTAATATATGTATATAAACGCTAAATATATGGATATTAATGTATAAAATGATATAAAACTAATACTCTCGAATGTCGAGAAATAGAAAAGTATCTACATGTATAAATCAGTACAATCTTTGCTATTTCGGCAGCAACTTTTAGCATCTTTACTTTGTCATCAATCAAGTATTCCATATTGTCTCTTGACCAATCCTTTATGTTCATGTAATTGTTATTATGATCCGCATACACTGACATTTGATATGCAAACATAACCGGTGTACAAATTTCAGGCGAAACGTTATGTGCAAATTATTTGTAACGTAAACAAAATTTTTCGACAAAGGTCATATATACTCAACACTTTCAATTTTACTTATTTACAAAACGATAAAGTTGTATCATTAAAAAATTTATTATCAATTAATAGTTATAAAGCGAGTGTAATAAAATATATTCTCGTGACTTTCACTTTCGCTCTCCTAATTGCTTATAATTTCACAAGCAGCAAGACAAGATGGACTTTTAAAGTGACAAGATAGAAGAAACAGGAAAAGTTAACTCGATAGATCTCTCCCTGGAGGGATCATATCTACATATTTTAAGCATCCAGCGTGTCTTATGAGAAAAAACTACAGTCTCTGAGGTTCTCTAAGTTCCCGAGCGACATATTTGTATTGTCACAATGCCCGGTACGCATGAAAAGGTTTTTTCAATTCATGGGAGCTTGTGACCTTTTCAGTTGCAGCTTATTTATGAGAGTTATTCCGTTCCCGATTCGCAAATAAAAATAATCCAGCGGTAAAGACTGGACGCTACGTGCAACTTTTTCGTAACTTATTACAATTAGTATCATGGAGTGACCCGCGCTCTCAAACTTGCAACTCGCTTCGTTTAATTTGCTAAGTGGGGAGACATTAAAATTTGAGTACCGGAGATTTATTATGAAAAACGTCGGTGAGCAGGTACTGGGGAAATAAGGAGTAAATTGATACGCGCGCTTTAAAGTGGAGCGATTGAAGTTGAATCGAATAAAAAGTTTATCAAGCAGAATCCAGAAGCAGCAATCCGTTTATTTATTCCACCTCGCAAGTTAAGTTTATTAAAATTTTTATAACGATGCGTATGATTATATGACGGGGAGCGCGTTAATTAACACTTCATTATAAAGCTATTTATAAAATCGATATCAGAGTTTGTAAATTGATATTAAGTAAAACTTTTTTCGTTAATAAATATTAATATAATTAACACTCTGCGGCTTCCGGGAATAAAAATTTGCGATATAATTGCGAAAGTAAAATGAAGTTGCGATAATTAAAAGTATTCCAAGATAGTTCGCGCACACTTTTTTTCCCAGTATTAAAAGACATGGGAAAACTTTCGTTGATCTTTCGCCTTCTTACGTGCAG